AAAGCATTATAAGTAATGGGTGTATCAACAGTACACGCTTACACCAGCAAAATTAAATTCCACAAACATTAAAATTAGCTGTATGGGTACAAAATCGCAAAATATAATTCCCGCAAACTTTTCCTGCTATACGGTATACATGTAAGCTCAATTTACACAATGCAGTTGTAATACAATACATGTATCTTATCATTGTTTATTCAACTTTGTTGAGTCATATTCTGCCTCTCTTGCACAATCTCTTCTCTCCACTTATAACAGACAAACACATACATGTACCTTTCTTTCATTATTTTCCTTTGATCAGGAGTTAGTGCTTTGAGTTCTTCCTAAAATAAAAGAATTACAAAAAAACATCGTAAAATTAATATTACTGTATAAGATGAAATGTTGATGGGGATTTTATATTGGCGGATTGACAAATTTATATAAAAAATGCCAAAATAAAATCCGCAAGCAATAATTCCATTCATGCGTGTGACTACACCCACATTAATTTTAGTTAAAAGCATGGTTAAAAGCAGTTAGCTAACATGGCTTTACTATGTTTTTTTAAGCCAGTCTCTAAACCAGGTGATAAAGAATACAATCTTCCAGAAAAGGCACAGTCTTTCTCTGATAATAATGTTCTCCACGAACCACAACCGCTTAAGTAAAACCCCGCCTAAGGGTGGGGATATAATTAAATTGTTAGAAACCGCCAATATTAAATCCGCCAATAAGCTAGCCATCACAAAACCGCCAAAGAAAACTCCCGCCAACAAAATCATCTTATACGGTAAATGCACATGTAAATAAGAACATCATATACAATATAAATAAAACAAAATTTATAATACACAATAAATTAAACATTACTTCATATTCAATTGTCTCTTTGTTCAGTAGTTCCCTTAGCTTCCCTCGTCTGTTCTCTAGCTTCCTTTCTTTCTGTTCCTTTATTATCTTATCATTGTATTGACCTAAACTGTACAGAATACTCTTATAATAAATACAATTTACATGAAACACTGAGTGATAGTCATACATTGCATCAGCATGACTTGCTAGAGTTAATACTATAGCTGCAAACATGAAATTGCAATTTAAAATATGCATCTAGAAAGGATTTTACATCGTGTCACCTTGTCATATCACATGCATGTGATAACAACAAACAACTCCCTTTACACATATATTCCTACGCAATATAATGCAACCTAAGATGTGGTTGAATTACATGACTCAATGGTGCAACAAGTTGCTTCCAAAACATATACTTCCTGCAGCTAGCATACAGGTGTACTAATGTTTATTGCAAGTTGTTTATGTACAGGTGGTATTGTTGCATCAATGTCATGTGTGCTATAATGGAAATGTAATTTTATAAATTTTAATTTTTACAAGAAACTCATAATATACATGCATAACATAATACAGCATTACAAAAATGGAGGCAATGTCTACGGTCTAGCCATGGATACTAGTACGGTACCTGTGGTCTAACAATAAGCAGTGGCATTTACATGTACACCATTCATCAGATCATGTAGTATACCAGCTCTAGCCTCTAACCTTCCTCTGTAGCAGGAGTCTGAGGTCCACACCCTCAGTTTCTGGTTCCTCGCCTCATTGCTTTTAAAGTACTGGTGATTCTCCTTCCATCTCTCCTGGTTCTCATCAGCAATCATTCTCCTGTGAGCCAGCATACTGACTCTTGCTGTACCAGGTCTGCTTTGAGGCCTACCATAGTATGATTTCAAAGTAGGCAGTGCCATGATTTTAAAAAATCAAGCTTCACTGACGCTAACTGTCTGTCAGTGTCTGACTGAAGACTGATTGAGTGATTTGAGTCTGATAATACTCTGATTCAAGATTTGTTGCCGCGAATGCCGCCTTTTTTTACATATCACGTGATGACGTGACGTGACCGAAACTTAACGCCCCACCTACAAAACCATAGATATCGATATTAACTCTAGAATCGAGCCCGCGATCGAGCCTTACAAAATGGCGTAAATCACCCTTTGAATTTTATGCCAAA